AAATGTGGTTTAGTTTCAGTTTCACTTATCAAAAGAAAGGGAATTGAGGGCATCTATGAACCTGGGTTACCCCTTACTTATAGGCTTTCCTCAAATCCGATAATTTAAAGTTGAGGATTAGGGGTAAGGGTGAGGGCAAGGTCTATATAAGTACTTATATAGACCTTGGGTGAGGGCACGATCTGATGATAACACAAACCGAGGAGGGACGCTTCTAAGGCCCCTTATAATGTTTTGAAATAGGGCTGCACGTTTTCAGTTATCTTTTAAAGTATTTCCATTATCGTTTATTTCCTTCGTTGTTTATTCTTACAATTGACAAATCTTTCCTCTGTTTCCTACCAATCTATATTAGACCAATAACATTTACTTGGTGACGGTAGTATTATTATGGTAACAGTTATCACTCTTGAGTTTGCCAGCTTTGCTAACACCGTTTTTACCCATTTTTACTCTTCTCTACACCTATACCTTGTGTGGTTGTTTAGGTGCCAGCCAGAAGTGATTCAGACAGTATTTCCCTTTCATATGTCCGGAACTGTACATACATGTGACGTGAATAAACTCGAGCATGTTATTTTTCAAACATACAATTTATTAATGTTTTGGAACTTTGTTGCGCTACATTTTCAGAGACACTTAATATTCCAGAGATATGTATGGATTTGAGTACTGTCATACCATGAGTATAGGACGAAGCCATTGGAGATAATGAGGGAGAATGTTAGGTCTTTAAGGCAGAGAGATCGTTGGATAGAAGGATAACTATGGGGCTCAGCGATGTTCCGTGGGCTGTGGCGGTTTATCCTTCATTTTATCAGGTAAGTGTGCGGCGTCTTGTTCGCATCGTTGTATCAAATGGATGATGTATGGTAAGGATGCTCTGTACGTTACCTTTTAGTCAGTCAGACTACAAGGCCCTTTTAAATGGTGGCCACAAGATCGTTTTGAATGCATGTGATATTAATCGCCCGAGAGTAAATATTTCAAAATGCGATAGACCAGTGTGAGAAAACCTTGTAGGATTAGTAAATGATAGACGGTCATACAAAATTTACTAAACACATCTTTCAGCACATGTGTGAATTGTTTTTTTTATTTTTTATAAGAAATTACATAGGTATAGAATTCGTCACCTGATTTTGTCATTATAGCATTAGCTATATGAATATATGAAAATGCCATTTCTTCCATTTTCTCATATATATTCATCTGGTGTGTAACCCCTTCTGTTTTGATTCTGGGGTCTGTAGTTATATTGATTGTACTGCTGAGTTTGCGGCTGCTCATGGTATTGGCTGTACTGTACATTGCCACGGGAGTTGTGTGAGTCAGTCCTAGGGTTGCCGTACTGGTCTTGAGGACTGCTATATCCCTGAGGAAGAAGGCGCTGGTTGTTGTGGCTTGGCAAGACTGGGCGTCCAGCGTGGTTGATGGATGTGGTTGATTGTCCTAAATAGGGTAAGGGTGTGGAGGCTGTACTGGCAACTTCCCCCTGCCCGTTCGTCGGAGTTCCATCATTGAATCGCCTCCTCCGTTTACCAAACCTGCTCTCTGCAATGACAAAATGGCCTGAATCACCCAAAGCTTTGTCGTGGGTGATGTCACCTTCTGGTCTGGTTAACTGAGGGTCTGGAGGAATACAAATATATTCAGTGGCAATAATAGAATACTTATACGCACAAATTCAAATATAGGCATGCACATATACAGCAACATGCAAAAGCGCACACATACAGACACATATGGCTAAATTCTATGTAGATAATCCCTCAGTATAAACAATGTAGGCCGACCTCTAAATCCTCAGTCTGGACAAGGTTGCCAACTATGAAAAAGGATCATTTTGCTTAAAGTAGATATGCAGCCAAACCACATCTACCATACCGAGTAGTGTAGTAGTAGACCTCGTCCACCATCTACCACCCAGTGCACTTACCCAAGGTCCTCATCATAATGTAACCACATCATTATGTTGGCACCATCAACAGCTTGATGCTTACACTTCTCCCCCTTCCCTCCCTCCCTTTTTCCCTTTTCCCTCCCTCCCTTCTTCTCCCTCCAGTCTGCCAATCTTAATCTAATATTAGTCTAACAACCTTCTCTGTACCAAACACCATACCATGGTTCCCTCCAGAGTCCGCGTAGTCCATGGCCATGTTCTCAACACCGCGTGTGGATCTTCCCAATTCCCTTTGCCTCTGGCGTTTCTTCCAGCGGCGGCGTTGAAACAGCTTGACGAGGACGTAGACGAGGAGCTCCACAAGGAAGAGGGCGAGGATGCTGCCCACGACGCTCCCGATCACAGCGGTGACCAAGGTATCGGTGGACACACAGGAGCAGCCGTCTCCTGTTGGTAGGGGGAAGCGAGTCGTGTTGGCGGGTTGATTTTTTTTTTTTTTTTTTTATGTGGAATGAATGTTTCTTTGTGCAGATTTTTTGTATGTGGAGTAAATGTTCCTTTGTGGGTATTTTTTTCTTCTTTGAATGTGAAGTGAATGTTCCTTTATGTGGATTTTTTTTTGTGTGTGTGTTCTCTTGTATCTAGATTTGTTTTGCATGTGGAGTTTCTGTTGTGTAGACTTTTTTTGTTTTCTTTGCTTTTACAGCTGTCCATTCATTTACACTATTTGGCATTTTCGATATATTGCTGCAAACCTCATCCCTCAATCTCGCTTTCGAATATAATGGTTAATTGACACGTTGCAGACCGTGCTACTGCCTCGCTAGGTCTCAGTAATACGTACCTTCCCCTCCTGACTGAGTGGTAGTTGGCGGTGAGGACGATGCCGTTGGGGTTTCCTCCGAGCTAAAGAACGACGGGGTGGGGCGTGCAGTGGACGACGAAGGACTGCTGGGATTACCCGTGGAGGAGGAGGACGTCGTGGAGGGTATAGAGGTTGTGGGGGCGCAAGGGACGGTGACCTTGGCTCCGTTGGAGTCCGCAGAGTGCATACCCTGAGCATCCACGGCCCTCACCAGGAAGGTCAGGTGCCCACAATCCGGGGCAGGGAAGGTGGTGTTGACCAGAACCCCGGCTTCCACGGGCGTCACGTCCTGCTCCACCGTCCCCTGGCCACTCCCTCCTACAGAGTACGTCACGAGGTAGGCTTCGGCTAGAATCAAGGAGGCACAAGGTGATGAGCCCGGGCTTTGTGACGGCTGCTGCTCGTCTGTCTGTCGTTTCCAGTCTGGGTGCTTTCTGTTCTCTAATTTGTCTTTTTGTTTGGTTCATTAATTTATTTATTGTTGTTTGTATTCCTTCTTTTTCGTTTTTGGTTCTTGTGTTATTCGTATACTAGCCAATGCAACTGTGTAAATATTTACCTGCCCCTGAACATATCTGCATAACAATTATGCCTGTAATCCTTATTCTATATACGTTATATCTTTTCATTATCATATTACTGTTGATATCATTGCTGTTATTGTCATTATTATTACTTTTCATCCATATTTCTGTTTTATCATGCCACCAGTACACCTGCTCGACCACCACTACCAAAGAAGGAATTAGAGCACTTTCTTAACACTGTAACTCTGAGCAGCGTAGCTAAGGGTCAGCTTAAACTACCCTGATCAAAAGACCTGATTAAGTTGTCAAAAGTTTCATTGAAGATCCATTTATATAAAGGGGCACACACAGTCTTTAATCGATTATATATATATATACAATATATATATATATATCTATATATATATATATATATATATATATATATATTGTTGTTTTTTAAATCATTTTCGGCTGTATTGTCTTCTGTTTGTTCTTGCAATTTCGCTTGTTTATCTTCTTATTAACTGAAGATTCCTTCGCTGTGTGACCAAACTATAAGAATTTCTTTCTACCTATCAAGTATTTGGTGAGCTCGTCTTTTTCTTTCCTCCATCACTATCTCACTCTCCCTCTTCTACTGTTTATCTCCCTCTCTCTTCGTCCTCCTGCCATTCTCTCTCTCTCTCTCTCTCTCTCTCTCTCTCTCTCTCTCTCTCTCTCTCTCTTCTCTCTCTCTCTCTCTCTCTCTCTCTCTCTCTCTCTCTACTTTTTTAATCGAAATATCGTGGACTACACAAGATGAAAAATAAAATTACCAAGGTGTGTTAAGGAAAACGCGTTTTAAAATTCACACGTTCATTTATTAATAAAGAAGAGAGAGAAAAGGAAGATCAGTTAAATCAACGATTTCAATCGCTATTTCCTTGCCACTGAACCATAGCTCATTTTCTTTATATTAAGACTATGAGACACTAGACAGTTGTATTATATTTGGAATGACAATGTTCTTTGCCGTAATAACATGGAACAATATAGTTATTTTATCTATTGAACACAAGGAACAAATTGCTCTCATTGTATTAAAAGATATGGAACAAATTAGTGTTATCATTGTTAAAAATATGGAATAATTTAATGATCACATTGGATAAAAAGTATGGCAAGACTTATTATAGAAATTTAACTTTTTTTTCATAAGTGGTTGTAATGTTTGCTCTACATTGTGAAATATGAAGAAAAATGTCAACAGTAAACATCAAAATAATATAATATTATATGCGTGTGTATGTATAAAAACATGCATATAAACATCCCTACGAATATGCAAGCTTGCTTCTGTGCTTACATACATGCATGTATGCATATATACATACACACCAATATACATACATGCATCCATGCGTAAATATACATAAATATATACATACAAGCACACGCACACATATACAATCACAGTGTATATGTAAATGTACAGTAGACATACATCATTAACCCTTACACACGCCTTCACAAAAACATACATACCTAAATACATACAAGCACACACATGCACACACACGCCCCCACAATGTGAATGTATATATACACAGTATATAGAGATAATTTGATCCCTTCCAAAAACCTTCACAACATAACGAGGAACATAAATGGCGTCGTTATTAGCATTCGAATCTTCCTCAACCCGATGCCTTTATTCTATACACAATTTTCCGCTTTGTATGGCATGAATAATCAAACTTCATATTTCATCTAATCAATAATATATTTGTCATAATTACTTTTTAAAATTCATTGCTCTCCTATTCTTTTCATAATAATTTATTGTAGGGTTACCGAAAATGTATAATCAAGTTTATTAAGGATGTTGAATTCAACACTACACATCTACTTAAAATGTACAGAACAAGTTTTTTCTTCCCAACAATGCAAAAAATCATTGCATATCATAATTAGATTAAAAGAAAATGTCTCCGTTTTCACTCTCCAAAATGAAGAAAATATATATTTATCTATCCTGTTGGCAATATTTCAATTTCTGCTTGCAATGTTTCCATGTTTATTCTTGTATTGCACATTTTACGTCACTTGACAACTCGCTAGCACCTTGCACGTTGTCTTCTGTAATAACGTATATGCAAAACTAAAATTTCAAGGCTCTAAACTTGGGTATTTGATTTAATCTTTCTCGGTGCAGGGACCCTGTCGTAATTTGTAGTATAGCCTGCATTATCATGGCCATCATTCTGAGGAATGTAACCATACTCATCATAATATTGGCCGTCATTCTGATCATACTGCTGGTCGTACTGCGAGCCACTATAATGGTTCTGATAAAGGCCATAGTTTTGCGGTGAACCGTTGTTAGGCTCGCCACTGTAGGGTGGTATGCCTACTTGGTTGATAGACGCGTTGGACTGTCCCATGTAGGGCTGAGAGGTGGAAGCTGTGCTGGCCGAGTCACCCAAGTTATTCATGGCCACTGCGTTGTTTACTCGGCTCTTGTGTTCCCTGAAGCCACCATCACCATCGTCCTCGTCTGTTTTCTTATTCCTCTTGGCTGTCAAGTCTGGTTTGGCGTAGAGGTCGTCCAGGTTGCGAACTGGACCCGAACTGCTGGATTTGTTGTTGCGAATAACGTCGTTCCCGGACCTGGTCGACCGCGGCGCTGGAGGGTTGTAAAGATTATCGTTTTTCGGTTTTCTGAGGCACCGACAGGTCAACATCTGCCACAGCCACAGGTCATCGAGGTTGTCACGATTCATAAATAAGTATATGCCAATGGCGAGGATCACCAAGAACAAAATAACGCCGATGACGATGCCGACGATGGCTCCTGTACCCAGAGGTGTTGGGGGATTTGGGGGGTCTATGGGCGGAGTCTCTGTGGCGGAGCAGGACACCATCTCCCTCACTTCATTGGACTCTTTGCCTTGCACCGACTGCGAGTCTGTGGCCGATACGGTTATGTGGAAGAGGACATCACAGTCCGGCAACTGCGCGGTGATGGTGACAAGCATTCCGGCCTCCTGTGTCTCGTTGGACGAGTAGGTTGTGATGGTGTTGTTGTCGTCCCTCTTAAAGTTTACATCGTATCTTGCAGCTGGAATGGAAGTAACGTTACACACTCAACGGAGGCTGCATAGTAGTCTTTATCACAGTAAACAATATAAAATCCAAACAAATGTTTTTTTTCTAAAGACTGAAGGGTAAAAAGACAAGAGAGGTTCACTAATATTTCTGCAGGTTCTGTAAAATTCCCATTACTGTAGATCTTTTTCAATGCCAGTGGCAGTCAGAATTACAATCAGTAGTAAGCAATCGGACTGGTTATATAAGTAACCAGCATTTGGGTTACATTTTGTTTTAATTTTCCTCGGGGTCAAATATGAAAGGAAAGAAACAAACTTAGCAGTAAAATATAGATGTGTGACGACATAAACCTTACAGAAACGTCATACGTCATGTCTACACAGAGAACCAAGAAGAGATTTGTACATAACAAGCTCATGCGCACACCATTATATATATGTCACCCATTTAATATTCATTATATCATTATCGTAGATACTTTAATGTGCAATTCACCATGAATTCCTGCTGTAGTGGCTAATTGCACTGTTTTATCCTTCATTTAGTAACCCAGCCCTCATGCGGAATCCAAAGAGAATAATTGGTGTAGTTCTTTAAATCTGCTACACGAACAATTGGAAATGCATGTAGATGTGAATATCATGTGGGATTTTCAAGAGGAACTTCAAAATAAACTTTTCTCCGAGAGGAAACATGAGGTACTCAAGGTTCTAGATTTGAGTGGCTTTTCACCAAGAAAATACTGCATTTTCGTTGTATCTCATTCAGTGATATTTAAATAAAATCTACTCAGCACTACTTGAATGCATATTAGTTACTGAAGGAAGCTAAACATTACAATTTGTCGATAAACCATACTATGTAATAAACTATACAATTTAGAAGCCATACAATACGGGATTAAATCCAAACCTTTTGATCCTTTCTTCATTATAAATAAGATCAAGGAAAAAGGCGGTCCTCGCGACCAGACAAGAGAAAACGTTTGTATATTCTATCTTAATTACGACAAAATGCCTAACGTGACACGAAGCCTTTAGATATATCTCGTTCGTTATGCTTGAATACTGCTTTATATAATCTTTATACACAGATATACACACAAAGACACAAGCACGCACATATAACCACAAAGATCCATACAATTCATTGAGAGGGAGATAATTTACTTCCAGGTGTACAAATTATCCTAAAACTACCTGTGTGTAATTCCCTACATCTGTCAAGTCCACCACCAACGGAAAGTCATATCAACAGTTGATAATTATGTCTGAAAATTAATACACTACACTGACTAAATCAAGATGGTGTACAGCTACTAGGAAAACATCATTAGAAAATCAATCTAAACATTCTGACACAAAAGTAGTGGTACTTTTTGAAAGATAGTTGTTAACGCTACGAAACCGTTGGTATCCCTGATTTTCAAACTACTCTTGGTTATGGGTGGCTGATCTAAGTATTACAAGGCACAAAAATCATCTCACAGTGACAAATTCGAAACCCAAAATACCTACATACCGTAACATAAGATTCTGATCGTCATTGAATGTTTCGACACCCCTCCTAACGATGGTTCTCTGTGGAGCTGTACATAGTTCAGGATAATGCAACTTGGATCACTTTGAAATTGCTTCTTAAAGCTGTGGGTGCATGTATGTGCTAGCTGTGACTCTAAATCTCCCTTTTACTTACTGAGGCCAGCTGATACTTATATTAATAATGCTATTACTACTACCGCTATTACTACTAATAATAATAATAACGATAATGATAATAATTAACGCTTATTCTATTTCCATTTCTTCTGCTACTGACATTGCCAATACTACTGCCCCTACCACTTCCACTATTGTCGCCGCTACTTTTACTAGTATTACTACTAATAATAACAATAATGATGATGTTAAAGATAATTACAAAAACTATAATAATAATTATAATAATGATAATAATAATAATAATAATAATAATAATAATAATAATAATAATAATAATAATAATAATAATAATAACAGCAACTACAGTAACAATGATAAGAAAACATAATAAAAGGAACAAATAACGATGAAAAAATACTAACAAGAATAATAATCAATAATAACAATGAGAAAATAAAAATAACAATAAGAATAACAATAATGATAACAATAATAATAATAATGACGATAATACTAATAACAATAGTATTAATATAAATAATAATGACAATAATAATGGTAATGATAACAATAATAATAATAATAGAAAGAACAACAATAATAATGATAACAATAATAACAATCATGATTAGAAGACAGATAAAAATAACATCAACAAAAATAAGACCGAAAACATACACTCATAAAAACACCATCCCACACCCATTAACAAATGCAGACTGACCTGTGCCTTGATCGAGGTCATCCCCAGGAGCCGTGAAGGTTAAGATGACCTGACTTAAGGTAAGAGATGACCTGAGATCCGTGACTCTGCCAGGAGGGAAGTTTGGGGGTATCGTTCCGGTCACTTCACCTGCGTTCTCCGAAGTGAGGGTGAAGGTGCCGGCAGAAGGGAGGTCAGTCTGGAAGGTGATCTGGCTCCCACAGCAGGATTGACCTAGGGTGGCGGGAGGTTGGCGAAGGGAAAGCTGAATTAGTGCATTGGTGTTGGAGGAAGAAGGTGCACTGAGGAAATGGTTGTGGAATGACGGTAAGGGGTGGTTCAACATTTTCACAAGCCACACTTACTAACCGTTGAAATCTACCGGAGCTGCACGTCTGGTCGCCGTCACCAGTTTGGCTGAACCGCCGTTGTCATTCGCTGCAACCTGGACGCTGGCACTTCCAGTCTGAGATAGGCCTATAAGGTAGGCCGAGTACACGCCATCGTTGCCCGTGACATCGGCTGGAAAAATGGCGAAATTATGATGCGTAGTTGGCACACAGTTTATTAATTTCGTGACTGGCTATATAAAGACAAGTGAAGTTCAAACATTAGGCAGCTGTCTTCTATAACAAAAATATGGCAAACACACACACATACCTACATATATATTTGTGTATGTGTTTCTGTTTTTCTATGTTAAAGTTAAATTGAGAGAGTCACGAATAACCCTATTCAAAGAATCTGAATAATCGTTACTTTAAGAAGAAACCGCCGTTTTTACGACACAAACTATGGAACTCACCTCCTGTGCCATCATCGCGCATGACCAGGACGGCGGTGTTCTGGGCTGAGTCCGTGACTGTAGCAGTGACGCTCGCATCAACCACGTGGCTGTCCCCGTCGCCCACCTGGTAAGTGGAAAAAAACAGTTCGAAATGATTGAATCAATTGCTTGTTATGCGTGTTCATAATCATCAATGGTCACGCTTGTGCAAACTATATTTCGTTGCATGTGACAGAGAGATAGATAATGCTATGATATGTATAAATGGATCCATGGACATATCTGACCAGGGAGTTTGATCTTACCATAGCAAAGAGTGTTGGGGCTGAGTTTGACGTGTATTCCAAGTGTTGGAGGTCAAGGGATGACCAAAGCTTAATGTCATATCCACCTGACTCTGTTTGCAAGGTCGCTAGTAGCGAGGACTTCACATCCATAAAATTTGTCTCTTTGGATACATCAACAGTGTATGTACCACCAACCTGTGAAGGTGGTTAATTTTGGGTGAAAAGTGGAAAACTTTGATCTTCTCATTTGGCAAATATTTTTGGAAAAAATGGAAAATGATCTAAGCACTTGCCTGTGAAGCAGATCCTGTGTAAATTATGCCCGTATCTTGGCTAAATGATTTACCAATGGCAGTGCCCGCTGGGTCTCGAACTGTTATCTTGAGGTTGAGTTATCGTATTAGTAAAATAAACTTCGATGTGAAAGGTCTGTTGATAGTTGGTATTCGTTGGTACTTCTAGGCTTATCTGGCACTCCTTGCCAGCGCATGAACTACTAACAATCTGTTTTGTGATGAAGTACAGTGATTAGTAAAATTCCCGTTTAATTATTCTCTCTCTCGACACACACACACATATACACACACACACATACTGTATATATATATATATATATATATATATATATATATATATATATATATATATATATATATATATATATATATTTATATATTTTATATATTTATATTTATATATTTATAATTATAATATATATATTTATATATATATATATATATATATATATATATATTATAATATATATATTATATATTATTTTATTATATATATATAATATATATATTTATTATATATTATATATATATATATATTATATATATATATATATATATATATATATATATATATATATATTATTTTATATATATTTATATATATATATATATATATATATATATATATTATATATTATATATATATATATTTATATATATTTATATATATATATATATATATATATATATATATATATATATATATATAAATCCCATTCCAGATCAGTGTATATTATTCATATTTTGTCTTTTAACATTAGTTTGCACATACAGTTTACTTTATGTCAGTTATCGAAGAATTATCACCACATAAAAAGCCATGCCTCACCTCCTGTAGTGAATCGCCTTGCGTCTGATATTGGATATCCAGGAGACATCGACTGAGAGCCACACGGTTGTCAACAGACTGAATAAAAAATCAACTACATTATTTTCAATAGGGAACACAGACGCGCCACTGGCATCGGCAAGGCTCTGATAACTCATAGGAAACCCCAATGAGATGCGGGTACAGGACGGGCCAAACAGGAGTGCCACCGGCAGCTGCGACCAGGTCTTCCGAGTGGGATTTCATGTTCTCTGTCACCAGTATCACCATACCTTCACCACCCAATACCTTGATGAGACGAAAACACATAGTTGTTTATGGAGAAATTTGCCTTCTGGTCAGTCATAAACTTTAAATCACTTTATACATTTGAACCAACGAGATGAAAGATCATAATTAACTGGGTCTAGGAAGAATTACAACTTGAACAAACATCCGAGGATTCTTAACAATAGTGAGCACTCAATTACCTCTTTAGCTTTGGTTATTCCTGCAGCCACATTCTTGGTTTGAGTGTCTTCCGTAGGTGCATTGGGTACTTTCCCCGCCAGTGATTCCCTGTTGCTTGGAGTATCAAGCGTGACGAGGTCAGACACTTTAGTTGCTGTGTTTGTGAAGCTCACGAGGCCCACCTGCATCCCATCCGTTGCCTCTACTAGGATGAACTCCTTCACCGAATCACGCAGATAATTCCATGTGTCTGAACCCTATGGAAAAGAAGAGCATGTTGTTATTCACTCACATTTAAGGAGAACCACGAAAGATCAAAGTTGTACTTTCATAATTTCTACCTGTATGTTCAAAATTATATACTACTGACAGTGACATGGCGTAGAATAACTGGATTAAAAAAAAACTGAGAGTTCATATTCGGGAGCCCCAACGGTACAGAGCAAGAAGATAACAATGATGATCTCTGCCACAGGATATTCAATTTTATCTGGATCGTCATTTTTATAATGTACTAAAAGGCGTGTATCGGAAATTAACCCCCCTCCCCCAAGCATATGGATTGCAACTATATGAAATTGATGAAAAAAATGAATGAACCCTTACTCTTTCACGCTAGCCTAACCTAACCAAGAATACTTGTTGCCATTAAGTGACATTTATAAACTAGCCACAGTTTCCATTATATACTGTGTACATTGCAGACAGAACCGTCAAGCATCAATTACTATTCCCATTGGCGGAGTGACGTCTAGAAGGAATACAAGCTTGTTTCCTGTCGTTTGTGCTTTTAACTGTTTCACGGTGAAGGTCGGTGAAGTTGAAGGAGCCGAAGATCTGGAATGGAAAGCGTTTTGGTCTGTTATTGTTCAACTCTGTTAGTGTGTATTTTGTGTCATTCTCTCTCGTAATGACTTGCGTATTTTGTCATTCTTTATTGCAATGATTTGTGTCTTTTGTGCGAATCGTTCAGGTAATGATTTGTGTAATTTTTCTAGCAATGATTTGTGTACTTTGTGTCGACCTTTCTAATGTTTTACGGATAATTACCTTGTTTCGTTATAGTAGTGATGGGTTATTATTATTTGAGGATTACCTAGACTGCAGCGGTAAAACAATAGAGATCATAATTCTGCAGTAGATCTATTGCGATTTCGGGGCTGAGTTGTAGTCTTCTTTCAGAGTGAATATAAAGGAATTCTTTAGTTTTCTTTTTCATTTATCTTATAGCCATTGTATTTGTAAATGAGCATGATATGCAAGGCTTTAAAGATTCTACTTTTAAATCTATTTTTAAAGGGTCAACATTCCATTGTACATCTAAAGATTTCGCTTCTATTTTACCGCTATCACAGAAAGTAACTGCACTGTCTCCCATGCAATCTACGGTGTTACACTAAACTCCTGTAACTCAACTCAAACGATCTTTCTACCCACGTGCCAGTAATGTCTGGATGGCTCTGGATAACCTCCCAGGTGCTCCTCTTCTCGCACAGAAGGTTGTGTTTGGTAGGAACATCAGCCACATGGGTTTCACTGTTGCAGAAGTTAACCACCTGTAATGCAAGTGATGTAAGTTAGTCAACATGTGATTAAATAAAAATATACCTTCTTTTTGCCTTAAAGGCTACTGCTTCAATTTTCTTTCAGTAAAAGCAGTCACACGAGTTTAGGCCTATATTCTTAACAGGGGTGAAATACACAAGATTCAAACATATTGTAACATTTGCAATATTTTACTAATGTAAAATGTGACATGTGCACAATCTAAAGGCATAAATATTGAGAAAAAAATCTTAGCGAGTTTATAATCTTAGAAGCTTCATTTAGTCGTAAAAAATGAGTAGTGAACTGAATCTGATATAAATATTCATATATCCTTCCTCTTATATTTGTTCGTTTATAATTATAGCCTCACCTTATATTTCATAGTTTTCAAATGGTACACTAAAGGTTACAAAGGGAAATATATGTATTACAAAAGTAACTGCAGAATTAAAGGCATTTACGCGCTTCCTCATTATGCAATAACATTACCATGAGATGGTTAGTGGGTCACATTCAAGTGATACAGTACATGTTCGTCTATGACACAATTTATATATGCAGATTGCATAGACTTCGGCGTTTTTTTAATAATGTCGCGTTCGGAACTGCTTGTCCAACCAGGAAGGTCGAGCAAACTAATCAGAAAAAACGTTCCAAACCCCAACTTATTTGGAAGTCATCAACTCGTGCCTCCTGAGAGCAGACCGAGTTCGACGAGATGGCTTTGTTGGTAAACAAAAGATGGCGGACGACATAAATATGAAATAAAAATTACTAAAATCTTTTCATAGCATGCCCCAATGAGGATGAACATATTTGTTTCCGTCTAGCGATTGCACATCCGCAGAAAATTAAAACAAATTTGACTGTGGCATTCAGTGTGCCTTTACTTGCTGAACACAAGATCTCGGCGAAATGAACAAACAGACAGCCACAGACACTTACGGAACTAAGGAAAGGTGTGGCAAGGAGAGAAGAGGTGACTCCCGTTGTCTCCTCTGCATTGGGCACGAAGTAACAGGTAGCGAGGTTATCTCCCTCACACTCACTGTGGGAAGAACATTTTATATAGCATCGCTAGAGACATTTTCACACTTCTTTTCATGTCGGATTCCTCACACGGCTCACAGTGGGAACATCTCAAATAACATCCGTAGTTTAATCTCTCTCTCTCTAGCATACTGCAGAGTTATGCAATCTAGCTGACCACGTGGCCGTGTTCACACCACGAGGGGATAGCCCTCGTGTGTACCCACACTCGCTGTCTGCCCACACCTAGATAAAACCCAAGCCTGCCTCGGGCACCCATCAGGCCTATAAGAGGTCAGCATAGGTTGACCCAGCTCTAACTCGCTCACTCGCTCACTCCCTCCGAGAGTAACCTTGGAGGGAGCACCTCTTATACTCTCTCTCTCTCTCTCTCTCTCTCTCTCTCTCTCTCTTTCATCATTCAACGACGTGATCTTATAATGGGATACAAAACCGTTCGTAAAGTCTCACAAAAATTCCCCGCCACTTCGCCGTCAGTGCAGTAGGTGTGCCTGAGGGTCTCGTTGCCGTCGTAGGACCTGGTGGCGGAAGGGAAGATCGGGTCGGCCCTGTGCCCGTACTCCTCGAACACGCCCCACCGGTACTTGGCCCACTCGTGCACGAACACGCTGCCTGTTCGGGAGGAAGGAAGGGGTAAGGGCACGGAGAGGTCTATACAGGTACGTAGGTCTGGTTGAGTGGCTCAGGGTTGCGGTCCTTGTGAGATGGATTATGTAGACGTGTATTTTACTGTATATTTATGTACGTAAATAGGTCTACACATTTAGCTTACGGGACGAGATAATAAATCCTTAAATATTTGCAACTTCAGACACGAAGTGTAAATGGTTCAACCCTCTCACCTTAAGCAACTGTTATTATTCATGTCTTGCGGAATTGAAAGTGATGAACTATATACTACTTCATCCCTAAAAGTGTTTATGAATTTACCCCTTTGTCTCTTAAGGTTAAAGGGTTGGACTATTTATTCCTTTGTCTAAGGTGAAAGTGCCGAACCATTTCCCATTTGCCTCTTAAGATAT